TTATTTATTTGAGAAAGAGAGAGGGAAAGAGAAAGTGCGTGTGAGTGAGAGGAGGGGCAGAGGGCGAGGGAGACAAGCAGCCAGGCAGGAAGCCTGATGCAGGGCTGGATCCCAGGACCCTGAGATCGTGATCTGAGTTAAAATCATGAGTCAGACGCTTAACTGACTGAGCCCCCCAGGCGCCCCTATCAGGGAACTATTATTATCATTCTGGTTTTGCATATAAAGAGGCAATTGTAGTTTGGAAATAACTTGTCAGTTCTTTTAACTGACGGGGAAGGAGAAACAGAATCTGAATTTAGGAAGTTGATCTCCAGAATTAAAGTTTTGAAAAGAAAATGGTAGGGATATTTAGGAAATCAGATAGAAGGTAACTGAGAGGAAGGAGATGCCACAGGATGAAGGAAATTTAAGAATAGAAAGAGGAGCTCCTGGGTGGCTCAGCCGGTTATGTGTCTGACTCTTGATTTCAGGTCATGTCATGATGTCAGGGTTGTGACACGGAGCCCTGTGTCGGGCTCCACACCGGATATGCAGGCTGTTTAAGATTCTCTCTCTCCCTCTGCCCCTCCTCCCACCTCAAAACAGAATAGGAAAAAATAGGAATTTGAAAACATTTTAAAAAGCACAGATCCAAAAAGGACAGCTACTTTTTTGAATCTGTTCCTCTTTTCAGCTCAGATTCTGCTATTCTTAGTCTCTTCTTGAAAACTGTACCTTCCTAGTAGTACGCATGCCCAATGCAGTTAGTTTTTACTGAGAAGTCCAAGGCTAAAGGACAAGGAAGATGGGAGGTTTTTGCCTTTGAGATGGGCTGTCCTCCTCCCAGTTTGGAAAACCGTCCTGCTTTTTGAGTCTAGCACCAAACTTCCACTTTGAAAGTCAAGGCTGCCTACTTGGGAGAGATCACGTTTGGGTGCCAGCAAATCCAAATCCTGAAGCTGAGAGGGCCTGGCTTATTATAGTCTCTGAACCTTTGCCCATGTGTATGAGTAGGACTGTTGCCACCCGGGGGGTTTGTGAGGATTAGAGACAATGTGTGTATATCACCTGGCACAGTAGATGCTGAGACCCAGAGCAACAGCTGAGCAAAAGGGAGAAAGCTTTGCTGGTTGCTCAGTACCTTTTGTCCTGGGTCCTGGAGAAGACTCTTCTCCAGTCCTCTTGGGGAGGGCAAGGGGTGAAGGTCTGAGAGCTGAGCGGGATGCCGTGGAGCTAGCAGACCCCTGGAGAAGGTGTGAGTAAGCTCAGTATGGTTAAAATCATGGGAACCCGACATATTTCAAGCCTTGAAATTCACAGAAGGGGTGAAATCAAAGAGAGGATGAAAGAATAGTCCCTGGCAGCAAAGCCAGTGCTGACGTCAGTAAAGGTGAGTCCTGCCACTTCAGGTGTGTATTGGCCATAATAAAGGCATTCATGGAAGGGGAGCTGAGTGAGGATTTAGTGATGAAGGTGATCACCCTTGGCTCAGTTGTCCTCCCTCAGTGTCAGGTTCAGCAATCTTTCAAGCTGCCGCAGAGCAACTTCTAGCTTCAGGCAAATTCCTTTCTCTGACTCCCAGCAAACTTGCCCTCCCTCCAAATGTTCCACCTCTATGCAAATAATGTCAACTCTAGCCCTTTGAATAAGTTGCTATTTATGTCAAATTATCATTCAGCAAAATAAAGAACGTGTAGGTTATTAATCACAGGATCAGAGTGACTGCTGCCAATTGTAGCCTGGCTCTACCCTCCAATTATTTGCAGGCTCATGAGTACCAAACATTTTCCCTTATTTAAAGAATAACCAGGTCGAGGTGCCTGGGTGGCTCAGTAGGTTGAGGGTCTGCCTTCAGCTCAGGGTCAGGATCCAGGAGTCCCGGGGTTGAGCCCCGCGTTGGGCTCCTCATTCAGCGGGGAGTCTGCTTCTCCCTCTGCCTCTCCCAGCTCTCATGTTCATTCATTCTCTCTTTCTCTCTCAAATCAATCAATCAATCAATCAATCAGTCTTTAAAAAAAAAAAGAGAAAGAGAATAACTGGATAGAGTGGAAAGAGCCCTGCTTGGGGATAGAATCTTGACTCTGACCTCCTTAGAAAATGAATGACCACAGACAAGCCTCTCGTCTTTTCCAGTCTCAGATCTGTGGTGTGGGAAATGGCACTGCTTGTCCTATTTAGTGTGTAAAAGAAAATATTTGATAGTACTGTGTGAACATAGGATTTTGTTTAGACATAAATTGTTTTTATCTCTATTCTAATCCATAGATTTCCTGAGCAAAATAAGCTAGTGGTGACAGTGCCATCCTAATCATTGTCAAAAGCTTACCTGTAGTGACTTCTCTTCAGTTAAAACAGTGTTCGGTGAAAGCTTCAAGGTCTATTTCAGGTCAGTTCTGGAAAAAATCAAAGGGGGTGGTGAGAGTGGAGGAGCAAAAATGATAAAGCAGACTACAGAAGAATCCATGTTGGGTTTGAGAATGCTTGTCGCCGGCTCTTCCATTCTGATTGGCCTTATTCCAGGAATCTTATAGCTGGTAGAGACAACAGCTATTTTCCCCCCAAACTATTCAAGGCTCATTTTCAAAATGATGATCTTTATAGCTGGATGAGGAAGTCATCAGTCTTTCTAAAAAAAAAAAAAAAAAAAAAAAAAAACACTTTGCCCTATTATTCTACAGAAAAGTCTTCAGTGATTACCCATTAACCAGAAGTAGATGCTTCAGTGAGATTTATAGACTCCACCCAGTCTCCCCACCTCCAGTTACTACCACCAGCCCCACCTTATTTATCCTTCTGTTTCCCATAAAGCCAGGAATTGGTTCCTTCCAAGTTCCCCAAGCCCCTTCCTGATAAGGCCTCTGCTCTCCCTTTTTGTCTGTCTCAAAACTATGAGTTTCTCTACCTTTGCCCTATTTTTTCATATGTAATCTTAATCCCACCTGAGTTTTAGGGTCCAGTTTATAGTTCTTTCTCCCCCACCCTTAGGTCTCCCCTGCATTTCTGCAGACCCTCTCTCCAGCAGGTCTGTCACAGGCACATCATTATTTCAGCCCAGCCCTGGAGACGGTTTGGGTCATTTCTGGGGGCAAGGTCCTATCCTGAGCAGCACTCTGTCTTTCTTGGAGGAATGTGAGGAAAGTAGGTGCATGTGCCCATCATAGGCCACAGTTTACTATCATACCTCTGTGTCCAGAGGTGAGGCAGAATCCAGAATCATGTGGCTGTAGCCCTCAAGCCAGGCCCACCCAGCTGCTTTGTAAAGGGTGAGGGTGGGTGCTAAATGTTTGTGTTTGTGGGAGTAACTCGGTCAAAATGAGGCTGTTCCGCCTGAGAACTCCCTTGGAGAGAACCCCACCTCAAACCCCTTTCTTTTTGGTCTTCATAATAAAGGAAAAGAGGGAAATAGACTCAGACTTAGACGCTGACACAGGAGCATATGTGCCAGGCACCATGCCAATTGCCACAAGTGAATTATCTCATTGCATGCTTTCAAAGATCTGATGAGGTTAGTACTATTTCAATCCCCAGTCATAGCTGGGAAAAAATAAACTCAGAGTAACTTGTATGATGTCCAAATAAATAGTGAAGTTTTTTTTTTTTTTAACCCAGTTGTATCTGAGTCCAAAGCCTGTTTGTTTTGTTTTGTTTTTAATTTAGTCTACACCAGTGGTTCTCAAAGCATGGTACCCAGAGCAGTGGGATCAAACTGCAAACTTGTTAGAAATGTGAGTCTTGGGGCCCCACCCAAGTCCTAGTGAATCGGAAACGTATACTGAAAGTGATCTGGGCCGTTACAAGTCCTCCTGGTGGTACATGTTCGAGTTTGAGCACTATTTTTCTGCACCATGAGAAGATCCCCTATAACTTAGCCTAGAGACCATATTGGCACAGGAACATTCTAAGATGTTGGTTATGTGTGGACCTCTGACCATGCCAAAGTCCCACCTGACTTTGTGCTACCTGGATCCTCTTCAAGGCAGACCCGCAGCTATGTGTTTGTAGCTTTGGAGGCTGAGGGAGAGGGAGTTGTAAAAAAGAGAAAAGAAAAATTCTCAATTTCTCCAAGTCTTTCTTAATAAAATTTGTCACATCTGATCATTTTTATTTATTTTATGCTTATGTTGGCCACCTGTACTGCCAGTTTCTACTGTTAATGTATTCTTGGTCACTCATTCGATTATTTACTCAACAAACATGCGTTGGGTGCCAAGGAGGTGACAGGTACGGTGTGAGGTTGTGCTATAACAGTGAGTCAGAGACAGATGGAGTCAGCCTTCTCAGAGCCTGCAGTTAACTGGCCATCACTCAGGCATGTGAAAAGTGCTGCCTGGGGAGGAAGAGGTACTTTGAGAAATTACAGGAGGCCCCTCTCCCAGATTTGCAGTCAAGGAAGGCTTCTGGAGGAGGTGAGGGTACAGCTGAAGCACCAAGACATACCTATAGTAACTAACCTGGAGAAGGGAATGGGAATGGAGTGGAAATGGGAATGGAGTGGTGGCTGGTGCTCTGGGAGAGTGCTCCAGCCAAGAGGTCCACACGTGGGAAGACCTGGAGAAGATGGTGATCCCGGCATGGGAAGGAAGGGCGTAAGTTCAGGGTGGCTGACACCCTGAGTGTGAGGTGGGCCATGAAGGGACATGAGGCAGCAGAGAAAGGCTGAAGGCAGACCTGTTGAACTTCCTTGGGGAAGTGGGGAAATATTTTAAGGAGAAAGTGACATAAAAAATATATGTGTGTATTGACAAGCTCACTCTAGTTCATGTGTGGCCTTCTTTTAATATAGCTTCTTCATTTTTGTCGGATGTGTTAATGCGGCCAGGGGATCATGAGATCCTTGCAAGTCATCCTTGCTCTGTCTCTGCCCCGTCTCCCCCAGTCGAGTTGGCCTGCCAGCTCCCCACACAGCCGGGGCAGTGTGCTGGCTTATTTGCATTGCTTTTATTACCCCCTGAACAGAAGTAGGTCACTTCCCAGAGACATGGTCAGCCTTCAGCATTGCCTCTTGCTCTCGGCTACAGGGTGCCTGTCCTTGCTGGTGACAGTCCAGCACACGGAGCGCTACGTCACCCTGTTTGCCTCCATCGTCCTCAAATGTGACTACACCACCTCTGCCCAGCTCCAGGATGTCGTGGTGACCTGGCGCTTCAAGTCCTTCTGCAAGGACCCCATCTTTGACTACTACTCCGCGTGTGAGTGCCCTCCTGCTTCTGCCCACATCCCTCTGTAAAGCTTTGGGGCACAGGAATTATTGGGGATCACACATCTTTAGGAGGGGGAGCCACAAAGATCACTTAATGCAGTCCTCTCATCTTCTAGATAAACAGCCCACGCAGGCGAAGTAGCTTATTTGAAGTCACATAGTATTTTAAAATTTGTGCCCTGGGGATCCCTGGGTAGCTCAGCGGTTTAGCGCCTGCCTTTGGCCCAGGGCTGATCCTGGGGTCCTAGGATCGAGTCCCGCGTCAGGCTCCCTGCATGGAGCCTGCTTCTCCCTCTGCCTGTGTCTCTGCTTCTCTCTCTGTGGGTGTCTTTCATGAATAAATAAATAAAATATTAAAAAAAAATTGTGCCCTGCCTTGTTCTAAAACGATTTGGGCAGCTCAGGCATTAAGTTTCTCCAAAGCACAGGGCAAATCCTGCCTCCTGGTGCGTTCCTGGTTGCAGGGCCGCACACTGAGGTGAGGGTGCAGGCTGCTTCCCTTCCCCTCACCACCTTAGAATGTGGACAAGAAGGCTCCGACAGCCCCCGGACCGAGGAATGGCCGTTTGTCACCTCCCACCCCCTGCCACCCTCCCTTTGATGGCCACACTCCCTTCCTAGCGGCTGACTGAATCACAGTGAGAGCTCGCTTGGCCCAGGGAACATGTTCTCAGTGCGGCACAACCTCCCCTACCCAGGCTCAGGCCTGGCCCTCAGGCCCTACGTCTCAGTCAGTTCTCCTCCCTGGAACCAAAGCTCTTTCTAGCTGTCAACCTCTGCTTCTCTCAAGGAACAAAGGAACCCGGATCCTCACTGTCAGCCCTGACAGTTAACCTTGTAGAAATTTTGAGAGTATGAGTAGACACCATCTGCGCAGGAAGAAAGTGAGCTTCCTGACATGAGGAAAAAGGGGGGAGGTGTCAGCTTTACCTACTTTAGACCTGACTGATGTCTTACAGTATGAACCCTGATACCTAAATGTCTGAGTCACCCACAGAACCTGGTGTTGTCCCCAAAAGACACATCTCTGAATCAAGGCATGATTTCCAGGAGGTTACTCTTCAGATAAAGTGGGAAGAGAGGAGAGAGACCAGGGTAGTAGGCATTTGTCACCCGCAAATGAAAGGGCAGGTGGGTGAACCCCATGGGAGCAGAACCTGGAGTCACCAAAAATGGGGCATGGGTAATCGGAGACAGGAGTATGCAGCCAGGATTTGGACATGAGGGCCTTTTAGAGGGGTCTGGATCTTGGGGCTCAAAGGTTTGTTAGAAATGCAGACTGTCAGATTCTCACTCCAGACCCCCAGAATCAGAATCTTCATGTTTAGCGAGATTCCCAGTAGACACATGAGCCCAGGAAAAAATGAGAAGCTTCGCTGCTCCAGGGAACAGCAAGGGCACCTTTCTTCGTGGGGATTCCCCGTTGCTGTGTGACTTGGCTGTGTCCTTTCCCTGCAGCATACCAGGCAGCCTTATCCCTGGGCCAGGACCCATCCAATGACTGCAATGACAGCCAGCGGGAGGTTCGCATCGTGGCTCAGAGGCGGGGGCAGAATGAGCCTGTGCTGGGGGTGGATTACCGGCAGCGCAAGATCACCATCCAGAACCGTGAGTGCAGGGAAGGCAGCAGGGGACCGGGGGTGGCAAGAGGTACAGACACTGGGCTTGGTGGCCTGAGTCATTGTGGGGATTTCCCTTTTTTTTTTTTTTTTAATTTGTTTGTTTGAGGAAAGTGCCAGATACATAGATTGCTGTGCCACCGTCTGAAGTCACTCCCCTGGAAGTTTGTCTCAGGATGAGAAGATGTCCTGCAGCTTTGCCTAAAGGTCTGGGAGTGGTTGGTTTCTTTTGCTTTTTCCTGGCTGAAGTGCGGCTCAGGCTTGTTTGCTCCCTGCCATAAATGGCTCTCAGGGCCCCTGAATTTCCCTCCTGTTGTACATGTTGAAGGGGCTTCCAAGTAAATGGCCCCCTTGAGATCATCATCACCCTTTGGTAGAGGAAAGAGCATTAGGGTTAGAATCAAAGACTTCCGGCTGCTAGCTCATGGACCAGCAGCAGATGCTTTCTCTGGCCTCTGTTACCTCATCTGAAAGATGGACATAAGGCCTCTGTCTCTGTACACTGAAGTAAATATCAAACGTGATCTCTAGGAGCTACATGTAAAGCATATTTATTCTTTGTGCCTGGTACAGGGACTGGTGGTTAGAGCTCCCAGGCTGCAGTCACTCTTGGGTGTGGGTCCTCGTTCTGCACTAATAGGGTATATGAACTTGGGCAAGTCCCTTCAATTTTTTTTTAGCCTCAATTTCTACAAAGTGGGACTTGCCATAGTACTACCCATCTCCTGGAGGGTTGTCAGGATCAAGTGAGATGATATGCATAAAGCACCTAGCAAATATTAAGTGTGCAGTGAACTTTAGTCATCACTAAGCGTGCTTTCCGGTGGATGGGCTAGTGCCCCACGTTCCTATCTCATCATCCAGGATTGCTCTGATAAGTTATTGGCGCAGAATTCAGAGCCTGTTTTGGTGAGCTTCACGTGTAGTGTTAAATAAATATTAACTGGTTAAAAGGATGAAAAGAGGGGCGAATACACTAAGCAGGCTGGCCATCAGGGTACCTGCAGCAATAATGTGAGGAAATCAGTGGATACTCTATGACCGACTAAAGGTAGATCATTTATAGGGAGCCAATTTAACATTTGCTTCCAAATATGTATATAATACCTTGGCTGTAATATTTAAGTCTGACTCTTTTACATGTGATCTCTGATTTCCCCAAGCCAGCCCTTAATCTCTAGGCCTTGGGGAACATCTGTCCTTTTCTGGTCTCTAGGTACATTCTCAAAGATTCAGGGTGGTTCTGTTTTTCCCAGAGTCTGCCAATTAAAGCCTTTTTAATTGGCAAGTCTCCTTTACAGTTTTTGAAGAATGAAAGTCCCCACAGGTGACAATCCCCACTTTTCTTTTCTTTTTTTTTTAACTTTGAGCAATACTATCCACTGTCTCCACTCCCAGTCACCTTTGGATCAAACTCTGCTTCTCCCTTACTCCCATGGGAAAGCAGTATTTTCCCCTTGTGTTTTATTTTTACCCCCATGCTTGTCATGACTCCCTGGAGCCCTTGTTTTCTGACACTTCTCTGCCTGTGTTTGCATCATTTGAGATGACCATGTCAGGTCAGTTCTTGGATCATTTAAAATATTAACATGTCTGAATGTCCTCATTGCTGTGACATCCCAAAAACAATCTTTATGTCTAATAAAAATTGAGGCATATTTTTAATGCACGTTAACACTGAGGGAGAATTTCCTCCAAAGCGCTTTTACATTATTCCAAGTCTGGGGTAAGCTTGTTTCTGGGAAAGGTAGTGTGTTTGGAAAATCATGGGTAGGAAAAAATCGTAGAGATTGACGTAGAAAGAGAAGGAAACAGAAGTTGAAATTAGCTCCAGTCGTGCATGACCGTGCATTTTTGTTTCATTTCCTCAATAAATATTTTTTGACAAACAGATAATGAAGAATTATACGTAGGACTGCCAACTAAGCAGGAGCAAGTCTGTAATGCTGAGGTTTTGTTTCTTTTGTGTGTGTTTTTGTTATTTAAAGAATTTGACGATGTCCCCTGGCACTTACTGTGGCTATAATAGCAGGGATGTGGAGGTGCCCTGATGCCTCTGACTGAAGCCCTTTTAGGACAGAGATGGATCTTGTGCCTCTGCAGATCTTCCTCAGTGTTGGACCCACACGAGGTCTTCAGTGAAGATTTGTTGCATTTACTAAACCTGAACATAGCATTTTTCTATCTTAATGAGGTAGCACAGTGCTTGGTGCTCATGAAAAACTGAAATTCCTTTCTTGAACATTGAGTAGCATTTATCCTTGAAACATTGGCATTTCATCCCTGCTTATTCAACTTCATCTCATAACTTGTCTCTCCAAGGGCCAGAGGGATCCATTCACAGCTGGTGAGGGATCCAGGCTGTGGGGTTTTTGACCCACTTTGGAAAGTACATTAGAACTTAGCAGTTAAGAGCACCAGCGTTGCAGTGGAGAACCATGCATTTGAATCTACATCTGCTCTGCATTATTTCTCTGTTCTTAGGCCAGTTTCTTAGCCTCTTGGAGTCTTGGTTTCCTCATCTGAAATGCAACTAATAAACATACTTACCGTATCAGGATGGTATTGAGTTTGATTGTGAAGAAGCAAAAGCCCAAAACATTAGTGACTTAACAGTGAAGAAATTTATTTCTTCTCATGTATGAATTTGGAGGTAGATAGTCCAAAACTAGTGTGCGGGCTCTGTTCCATTAAGTCCTCGGGGACAGGCCCAAGCTCCAGCTCACCAAGAAAGTCTTTTCCTTCTTCATGGTTGAAAACGGCAGCCGCCACATTTCCTTTCCAGATAACAGAGTAAAAGGAGAGATGAAGAAGAAAAGGACCAAGATGTTCCCAAATTGTTGTAGGAAAGTTCCTGGGAGCCATTGTGTATCGCTTCTGCTTGCATCCTGACCACCAGAACGGAGTTGCACATCCATGTCCACGGTTCAAAGAGGATAGGAAATAGTGACTTTATTCTGCATGGCCACATACATGAGCAAAAAATTCTATGACTGTGAGAGAAAGGGAGAAGAGACCCTGGGAGGCAACATAATGTGTACCTCACCTACTTAGAAAGCTGTGGTGGGAATTAAATGAGGTGATATCTAAAATCCTTTCAAGGTACCTGGGAGGGCTCAATGAATGGTCAGTTCTACCATCATTATACTGTTCAGAGAAAGAGGAGAGTCTCAAAAAAAAAGGAATTGAGGCCTTCCTCTGAACCACGAGGGGCCCTCTTAGGATGTGGAAGGACAATGCTGGGTCTTTAAGCCATAGAACCCAGGGCCCCCTCCTTTAATCTTCGGCACTTTCTCCCTCCCTTCCTGCAGGAGCAGATCTGGTGATTAATGAAGTGATGTGGTGGGACCATGGAGTGTATTATTGCACCATTGAGGCTCCAGGGGACACATCAGGAGACCCAGATAAGGAGGTGAAGCTTATTGTCCTGCGTAAGTGCTGCTGGAGCTTTTTATTTAGCCACCCCATCACTGTGACATTTTTATATACGGAAAAAAACAGAAGCAAGCAAGCCCAGGTTATCATTGGATCGCCAACGTCTGAAGATCCCTTCCCAAAGCTAAACTTTTTTCCCCCAGTATATTAATTGAACTTAATTTATAGGTCAAGAGCTATATTTATTAGGCCTCTAGAATGTGAGACGTGGAAGCATTCACCTGCATATTTAGTTAGCCTGCTCTTGGCATCTCCCCTGCAGACTGGCTGACAGTGATCTTCATCATTCTGGGGGCCCTCCTCCTGCTTCTGCTGATTGGAGTGTGCTGGTGCCAGTGCTGTCCTCAGTATTGCTGCTGCTACATCCGCTGCCCCTGCTGTCCTGCCCGCTGCTGCTGCCCCGAGGAAGGTAAGAGGGGACAGATGAGCAGTGCGACTGGGTGCTGCTGGAGACTGCTGTCCCAAATAAATCAACTTCACATACCAGGTCAAAATCTTAGGTCCTTCCAGCTTTGTCCTCCATGCCCTTCTCCCATCACAGGCTCAGAGGTCTTTGACCTCAGCCCAGAATATGATGTTCCAGGAAGTTGTAGGCCCAAGGGGGAAGATTTCTGCCCATCTACATCATAGCCTGCCTAAGGCCACCTTCCAATAGTTCTGCCTACTGCTGGCATTTCCTCAGTGGCTCTGATATGCCTGTGCTTCAGTATTTGCTCCTAGCACTCAACTTGCTTGGACATGGAGTGGCTAGAGTGAGTGGTTTAAACGTAGCAGTGAGAGAGGTCACCCCTTAGAGGTGACTTGAAAAGAACAGATAGAGGAGAAAGGTGTTAAAGCAGCGGTTCTTAAACTTACAAATTACCTATGGTTTGTTAAAAGTTAGCCGCTGGCTCCGCCTCCAGAGTTTCTGATTCAATTGGTTTGGGCAGGCCTGAGGATTTGTATTCCAGAAATGTTTTCAAGTGATGTGATGCTGATGATCTGTGGGTCACACTTTGAGAACCTCTTTTTAGATGAAGGAAAGAGGTTTAGATGAAGGAGAGAGAGAGAGCAGAAGATCTTGCTCTTTTTTTTTTTAAGATTTTATTTATTTATTCATGAACGATACAGGGAGAGAGAGAGAGGCAGAGACACAGACAGAGAGAGAGGCAGGCTCCATGCAGGGAGCCCAATGTGGGACTCGATCTCAGGACTCCAGGACCATGCCCTGGGCTGAAGGCAGGTGCTAAGCCGCTGAGCCATCCAGGGATCCCCAAGATCTTGCTCTTAATGTAATCTTTCTTTTGACTAAAATTTGACCTTTTAAAACAGAATTATGACATGCTCTAAAAAATTTGGCTGTGGAATGCTAAACTTTTTTGTAGAAAATTATTCTATAAAAATCCTTTTCTTTATTTCTTTTTTTTTTTAAGATTTTATTTATTAGAGAGAGAGTGAGAGAATGAACAGCAGGGAGGGGAGAGGGAGAAGCAGGCTCCCCACCGGGCAGGGAGCCTGACATGGGGCTCCACGTCAGGACCCTGGGATCATGGCCTGGGCTGAAGGCAGACGCTTAATGGACTGAGCCACCCAGGTGCCTAAAAATCTTTTCTTAATAAGTAGATGGTGTGGGACCAGCTGCTTTAAATGGAAGGAGTTTCATATTCCTAAAATAATATTTTTCCCCCAGTGATATACATGAAGTATTACATTGTAGAAAGTTTGAGAAATTCAGAAAAATATAGACTAATCTGAGCATTCAGAGATAATCACTCTTTAGCAGTTTGGTCCATTTGAACAGAAATTTTTTGAAAGGGAAGAGAAGGGATTGCCTTATAAGATAGAAACAAAACTTAATCTACAATGTTAAGAAGGTCAATGGCCTGTGTCTGGTTTCAGGCCTGTATTCTGGGGTTGTTGTTTTACAGGAAAAGAGAACTAACTTTTATTGGATGTCTGCTATGCATAGGCCCTTTGCATGGATTTCCCTGTATGAATCCTCACAACCCTAGAAGGCTGTTTCATCACTACTTAACAGATGAGGGGACTAAAGGTCAGAGAAGTCACACAGCTAGTAAGTAGCAGTGGCAGTATGGTGTTGAATCTGTTTTCATCTGACTTATGAGTGCCTGAATTTCACTTGGTAGAGGCTACTACAAACTGTGTGTAGATCACAGTAGGCTTGGCAGAGATACCAAGGACCTCCTTAAAGAGAAGAAAAATAGGGCAGCCCTGGTGGCTCAGCGGTGTAGCGCCACCTTCAGCCCAGGGCCTGATCCTGGAGACCTGGGATCAAGTCCCGCGTCAGACTCCCTGCATGGAGCCTGCTTCTCCCTCTGCCTATGTCTCTGCCTCTCTCTGTCTCTCATGAATAAATAAATAAAATCTTAAAAAAAAAAAAGAGAGACAGAGAGAGGAAAAATAGCAGAAAACTGGATATTGGGCTGTGGGACTCATCACCTTTCAAGAGCCTCTGGGAGAGAGGCTATGGAGAAGTCACTATCCCTGGAGTAGTAATATGCAGAAAGAGATGAGAAAATCACTCCCAAGGTCAGTGGAGCACTAAAAACAAGCAGGACCGAGGACAAAGCCAACACAAATGATGAATGTCTCCACTGTTTCAGTATGCTGCTAAACAGGTTCTGAGGGAGAGTGGTTTCTCCTGAGCATTAGAGTTCCTTTAGAAGAACGAGTAATATAAAGAAATGCAGGCTACAAGTAAACATCTCTGGACTTGAGTGAATGAGGTCACTTTCAGAGTGAATCACTACGGCAGACTGTCCTGAGAATTTTGATGACAGGAGGAGATTGCATGGAGGGAGCAGAAGTTGTTATGGAGAGCTCCTGGATGAGGAAATGGGTGTGCGTGACTCTTGGTTAGAATAGGATAACCCCAAGCATATTTGTAGGCAAAGAACCAAAGCCAGTAGGAAATGAGTAAAGCAAAGCCTTATGAAGTGGCATGAACACTAAGCAGGTAGAACAGGTGGGAGGGACATCAGGCATACTGACTACCTTTAGAAAGGAAAGGCGCCCAGCCCTGACCTCTGGAGAGAGAGAGAGAGAGAGAGAGAGAGAGAGAGGAAGTCATTAAAATGTGGGGGATGGTCAAAGTAAAAGAGAGGAAGCTGAGGGATCTCATACCCTCATGTCTTGATTTCAGCAAATCAAAATTCTAGAGCAGAAGGGAGCTGAAGAATGACATCCAGGGCTTCTTGGCCTTCTCTGACCACAGCCCACCTCACTAACTTGGTCCTATTTTCCAATGAGTTAATAGGGACCATTGAGGAGAAAAAGGAGAATGACACCAAATTTTAGCAAGCCTTGATAATTCACTTCATCCTGGTAAATGACCTAGAGTAGAACCTAAAGGTGAAAGTTATTGAAACTGAACCCTAGATTGGTTACTGGCCATCCTCCTACAGAACCTCTAGGTATACCCTGTGGTGGACTACAGGCCACACTGGGAATCTCTGACCTATGCTACCTGCCTCCCCAATCCCCTCACAGCTGAGGGAAGTAAGGCCTCGAGAGGCTTTTAGCTTTAGCACAATCGCGTGCAGCCTGTTAGTGGCAGATCCTGGACTAGACACAGGCCCCTCCATTCCATGCCCAGGGCTGGTTCCTCTTCCTTGACTAAGATGATGTCAACAGCTGAGAGTTCATGGGGAGAGGAAGACCTGAGAAGCGGGGAATGTTTAAACTGCTCTAGAGGAGGGAAGTGGGCTCAATAGATCAGTAAAGGGAAGCTATGTGTGTACTGAGTGAGGTTGGTTGCCTGGCTGTACAGTCAGCTCTGACAGCATGGGGCCAGAAGCTAAAGCTGCAATGGTTAAGAGTTCAAGTGTGTGGGATTCTAAGAAGCTCCTAAGGATGTCGCTGAAATGACTAGCCAGACAATTTAGAGGGGACTGGTAGTATGAGAAAAAGTGAAAGGACTGTATGACCATGGGTCAACCAAAAGAGGGTAAAGAATGAGTTCTCTAAAAGTAGAAAGAGGCTGGTAAGGCATAGGAAGCAGTTACAGGCAAATGCAGTTGGAAAGTTCTGGGCACCACAGATGATGCTGGCTGCAGGGAAGGAGAGGTGAGGGTCTCTGGAGGAGGGGGAAGTGCTGTGCCATTTCTGTCACGAAAGAGACATCTTAAGGAATATGCCCTGGGTTTTCCTCAGAAATGAAGATAAATATGCCTTTGGTGGTTTGGTCTCCAAATATGTACTTTTGTTTCCTTTGGGATCTAAGGCAAAGAAGTGACTTATTATAAGAATTTATTATGACAGTGAGAGCCACTGTCTCTTGATGGTCCTCTATGAGGCATTTCGTGTATATTGCTTCATTTAACCTCACCGACTTAATGAAATAGGTATTACCTTAGCTCACAGAGGAGGAGCCTGGGGCCAGAGACTCTGGAAATCCACTCAAAATCACACAGCTGGTACAGGCTGGGATTCAAGCTGAAGTCCATCTGACCCGCAGAGGTCGTATTTAGGGAGACTTGACCCTGAGGACCATAGTTCCCAAAAGGTTGTTGAGAATTCTCAATAGTTAACTCCAGTGTTAAGGAGCTTGTTAAAAACACAACTTTGGCTTGCTTTGCAGTAGACTGAAGGAGAGTTTCTGGGCGTGGAATCCAGGAATCTGTATTTTTAACTATAGCTCCTTAATGTGATCGAGGCAGACTTGACTCCACTGAGATTCAGAGATAACGTGCTAGGAGTCTTTTGAGGCTTAGCTACTTGCTCCATGTCGCTCATTTTATTGCCTGTCTGATTCCCCACTAGGTGAACAGCAGAAAACCATGACATCCCCATGGGACAAGAGGGCCAGGGAGAAGCTCAGAGGCTATGTTTTCCACTCCCATCTCAGCAGTTCCATTACATCAGGGAAAGGCGGGGCTCTGGGGAAAAGGGTGTGGCAGCTAAGAAGAGAGCAGGTGGGTTAATCTCTGGAGTATGGAAAATTTGACAAGAAAGCTCATGGAGAATGTAGAGGGGTCTCCAGGGAGTTGTGTGTGCTGAGGGTCCCATTAGTTAAAAAAAGTCATTTGGGGAACAAGGAGTAAGCTCAACTTTCCCTTCATCTACCATGGAATTGGGGGGGAGTAGGAGGAGGAAGTGGCCAGGATTCAGTTAGAGGGGTGAGGGGTAAGTAGGGTTGTTCCCAGTGGAGTCAGACGCCCCAGGCCTCAGAGGCAGAGACTAGTCTGGAGTGGGCTTTGAAGTGTGGGGCTGAGGGATCCCTGGGTGACGCAGCGGTTTGGCGCCTGCCTTTGGCCCAGGGCGCGATCCTGGAGACTCGGGATCGAATCCCACGTCGGGCTCCCGGTGCATGGAGCCTGCTTCTCCCTCTGCCTATGTCTCTGCCTCTCTCTCTCTCTCTCTCTCTCTCTCTCTCTCTGTAACTATCATAAACAAATAAAATAAAAAAAAATTTGAAGTGTGGGGCTGAGTCGGAGAGAAATAAAGCAAGGAGGTACCACTATGGAAGGTTGTTTTTTGTTTTGATTTTTTGTTTGTTTTATTTTGTTTGCTTCATCAAAAAAATGAAGGGGAGTCTGGGGACTCAGTGATTTGGCAGAAAGAGCACAGGTGTGGGCTTCAGAGAGGCACCTCTGTCCATCACCAGCTATGGGACTGGACCTGGGATGTCAGCCTCTCTGCACCCAGCTTCTTCAATGAATTCCCACATGAAAAGATTGCCCCGAGGAGTAGTCAGCTTATGTAAAGTGACTGGCACACGCATATTAAGCAGGGCATCGTGTGTGCTGATGGTGGCACACGGAGGGAGCTGGGGGAGGCATCGTTAGCAAGAGGGAGGGGAAGGGGCCTCTGCAGAGGCTCTGGAATGCTGTCCAGTGGCCGGAGGGTGGGGCAGCTGGGTGAGCTGCTCTAAGCTTGCATCTGATTTCCTCCAGGCTCACCTGTGATACGCAGTCAGGGCTGGAGCTCCGGATGTTTCTGAGGGCTCAGCAGCAACCACTTCTTGTTGTGCTGGACGTCTGTTGCACACGGGAGCCCCTGGGTCCAGATGGCCCCCAGCTGTTGGCCTCAGCAAACCCCCGGCCCTTTGCAGCAGGGTTCGGGACGCCTGTCCTTCTGCCCTTACTGTGCCAGGAGGAAGCCCGAGGCAGAGCCCTGCTGCTTGAGAGGTGGCCGCGGGGTGGCCGCGGGGCTTGAGGAACCCAGGAGGAGGTGAAAGTGCCAAGCTGGGGGCCTGAGGCAGGCACTTCCTGCACTGAAACACATACGTGCATCTCCTACACGCATGGATAGACAGAGGCCTTGGGAGACAGTTACCCCAAAATAGAAATTCATGAACAAAACCAACTAAATGCTTTTGTTTTTAGTTTGCACTCACAGGGGCGGAGGGGAGGGCCGGGGAGGGGAGGGGATCATGTGCTTTAGACTAGCGGCTGTGCCTGGGGTACTGGAGTAACGTGTCTCTGGACTCCTTGTACTGCTTTTTTATATGATTTTCTTTGCCCTGAAAGGAAATGGCATCTCCTTTCTCCCTTCCCTGCCTTCAGTGCACCCCTTAGAGATTCCCCCTACCTAGGGAAAATCCCAACACATACTGAGATAAGGAGATTAGAAAAGATTCACTGGGAGCCACTTCACCTTTTTTTCTTTTTCTTTTTCTTTTTTTTTTTTAAAAGATTTTATTTATTTATTCATGGGAGACACACAGAGAGAGAGGCAGAGACCCAGGCAGAGGGAGAAGCAGGCTGCAGGGAGCCCGACGCGGGACTTGATCCCGTGTCTCCAGGATCAGGCCCTGGGCCGAAAGTGGCGCTAAACTGCTGAGCCACCCGGGCTGCCCCTCTACTTCACCTTTTTGCATCTCTTGCCTCCCTCCCATGAGTTTCTCCCTCCCAGGGCTGCTGTACTACCTAGACCGTTTGTCAGTCTGCTTTCCTTTACCAGTTGACTTCAGCATCTACTTTCTTTTGCTTTTTTTTTTTTTTTTTTCCTTTTTCCACTGTGAGCAGGAAGCCCTGAGCTTCCCTGGCAGCCCCTGACCCACAGCCCCCTGGGAGTCATTTGTGTCGCATCTTCTACGTTTGGCCTGTGGCTAAAGGCCTTGTTGGCCTGGGACCCGAGATTCTGTGCCCGCCAATCTCCATGTATCCACCTACATCTTAGGGGAACCCAGGAAAGGCAGCTTGATGTGATGTTTTCAAGACTGGGAAGTCGGGTGGTCTAGGTATACTCTCCTGGGGCACCTTCCCAGCTCCTTGCCAGATGGCCGATTGGCTACTACTCCCTTAACTCTTACTCCCACATGAGATAGATTAGAAACTGGCCTCTTAGCAGGGCCGCTGGAGAGAGAGAAGTGAAGTGGGAGGTGTGGGGCTCATCCTGGCTGAGGGTCTGCATTTCTCCTTTTTCCCTGCAGCCCTGGCCCGTCACCGCTACATGAAGCAGGCTCAGGCCCTAGGCCCTCAGATGATGGAAAAACCTCTATACTGGGGGGCGGACAGGAGCTCCCAGGTTTCATCTTATCCAATGAACCCGCTGCTGCAGCGAGGTAAACCTTGCCAGAAATTTGGGGCGGAAGAGGGCAGAGGGCAGAGGGCAGGGGTAGGCGCGTGGGCTACCTCGAGGCCTTCTTGACCAATACAGTGGCAATCTGTGACTGAGGATGGGGACGGGATAGATGCAAGCAGAGTAGTGTGGCATATTGGTGCCCTGGTTCTGAGGAGCATGTTTTGGGGCCAGCAGTTCTGCATGTTCTTATCCTTGTTTCTATTTAGATTTGTCCCTGCGATCCAGCCTCCCACAGATGCCAATGACCCAGACCGCCGCTCACCCTCCGGTCACCAATGGTGTCTTAGAGTATTTGGAGAAAGAGCTGCGGAACCTCAACCCAGCGCAGCCTCTGCCCCCTGACCTCAAAGCCATTTCTGGCCAAGCCTGCAGCATGCTGTCCTCCCTGGGCTCTGAGGTTGTGGAGCGCAGAATCATCCACCTGCCCCCCCTGATTAGAGACCTGCCACCGTCCCGGAGGACCAGCAACTCCTCCCGCCAGCAGTGGCCTGCCCCCGGCGCCCCTGGACCCTGGGGTCTGAGCTCTGATGTCCACCGCGAGCTCCAGGGCCGGGAGCCCAAGCGGCTTCGGAGGGGAAGGCACCCCTGCTCCAGGCCACACGGGTCACACGCGCCCTGGTCGGACAGGGACAGCCTCGGCGACGGCCCCTCGTCCTGGGAGGCCCTGGGCCGCGGCCCCCGGGGGGATGCCCAGCGGCCCCGGAGGCGCAGGCACCGCAGCTACTCCCCCCCCTCGCCTTCGGGCCTCAGTTCCTGGAGCTCGGAGGAGGAGGGGGAGGAAGGGGACAGGCGGCCCCGGGGCCGGGGCCGGGGGACCCCCCACAGCGCACAGGCCACCACCTGGGCCACCTGGGCCGAGGAGAAGCCGCCCAGCTACCGCTCCCTGGATGTCCTGCCGGGCAGGAAGGGCAGGAGAGGAGGGAGCGTGGAGAGGCGCTCGGTGAGCCTGGGGCAGCCCGCGGGGGGCAGGGAGCTGCCCCGGGTCACCCCCCAACCCCGCCCTGAGGGCCCCTCCTCCTCGAGCCTGCCTTCTGGGCTTGGGGAGGCTGCCTGGGGAGCTAGGAGGGGCCCAGGGGCTGCAGGGGGCCGCGGAGGGCTCAGTGCTTGAGGCTTGAAACAGCCCTCGTCCTGCTCAAACCAGCCCTCCTCACACAGTCTCGTGAGGCAGGGTTCCCCCACTTCACAGATGAAGAAACGAGGCTCAGAATAATGCAGCATCTGTGAGTAGTGGAGCTAAGACTTAAAACGCAGGCTTTGTGGCTAAGGCTTTACTTCCTGTCATAGCTGCCTGACTTTACTTAGCAGCCCCATTTCCATACCCCAAAGTAGAACATACAGCCTGACAGAGGAAGTTTGTGCCGCTCCTCGGGCCTACAGGTCAGTGTGCGAGGCCTTGTCTTCGAGGATGAGGTCCTATGAGACCCCCTGGAAAGAATCCTTAAAGTGATTTAAACACACACACACACACACACACACACACACACACACACAGCAACCAAACAGCCAAACATCTCATATCCCAAATATGGGTCAAAACTTTAGGGTTCTGAAGCAGGTAAGGCTCCAGTGGGTGCCAGTCATAGCTTTGTCATAGCTTTGTGCCTTAAAGAGGCACAAAGAGGGATCATAGGCCTTTTAGGCTTTAATTTTTTTTTTAAGATGTGACTTTAAAAACCATTCTATAATTGCTACACCCAAATGATGGTATTCCCTCAGTATCACTTTGCAAAGTGATGCTGCCGTTGCTCAAAAATATTCATGAACTGCCTTCAGAGCCAACATAAATGAAAATCTGTTTCTCTATTTGACCAAAACCCTTTTCTGTTTTGCTTCTGTTGACATAAAGGGATATGTAGGAGGCTCTGAGGGAAGTTCCCAGAGTAGAGGATGTTACAGGAAGAATTTTAGTGTCTCATACATTTTCAAGGATACGCCTCTCATTTGGAAATTCAAGTTCCGTGATTTGTCTAAAAACCAATCACATGCATGGAGTGTGCAAAGAAACAGGCACCTTGTGGGAGTTATAGTACTAGTCTTTCTAGAAAAGAGTCTTGGTGAGACAGTAATTCATGAGGAAGGTAGCAAAGGCCTGCAGGCAGCTCTAAAATAATGGCAATTATATGATAGTCTCACAGATGTCCCAGGAGAGAGGCAAAGACCAGTAACAATGAAACTTAGTCGCATCCTTACTAAGTGGTACCTAGCTATGGACATTTATGCCATATCCCATTTAACCCTTAGAACACCCAGTGAGGTTTGTACTGTTATCTTCAGTTTACAGTAGATACAACTCTTTCTTCCATGTTACCAGTGGGAAAATTTCCTCCTGAAAGAAAACTCGGAACCAGTTAAAGCCTGGACAACTGCTGCTAATTTAGTCATATAGTGACTAAACTGTCTCTTATCTTCATTTTAACAGAAAAAAAAAATGTAATTTGAAAGGCAGTTTTTGGCCTGAAATCCACACCCTGTTTTCTTTGAAGTTTTTCTTCATTTTCTTCTATTTGTTATGTGGTTTCTTATAAGTGAGAGAGGGGTAAAAGGAGCACCAGTTATGTTCCATGCACTGGGGTAAGACTTTTCCAAACCTTATTTCATTTCATCTTTGCAACAACATGTGAGGCTGAGTGAGATGGGTATCATGCCCTAAGTCACAGGGCCAATAGGCAGTGAAGCCAGAATTTGAGCATAGATAGGTCTCTGAGTCTCAAGCCTTACCCTATCAGTACCCTTCATGCTGCCTCACTTGAAAGAAACAAGAATCATTTGGGGCAGTGACGTTTTCCTTCTATATTTCTTCCTGGTAACTTTATTTCTTCCTCATTTTCTGAAAGCATCACGGCCTCCTTTATCATCAAGACGTACACAAGCAAACCAAATTTTCTATTGTAAAGTTGCTCATGAGATACAAAGATTTCACTTAAGATCTTTTGAAAGCCTTCATTGTTTTGAATTTCTCTGAGCTTATCTCCTAAAGAGTTATCACTTTATCACATTCAACTGTCTGCAGCCCGGGCCATAGCTGGCTTAAGAAGATTGGTTGGTTGGAAGGGCAGAGTGTTTTGTTTATAGTTTGAATTTTGAATGCCTTCATTGAAGCAAAAGTCTCCAGGGCCAAAGTCTCGCTCACTCTTTGCTGCTTTCTCCAGTGGGGCTGGGCTGGATGCTTTCCACACACTTTCCTAACTAACCTCTGAAGTCTTCGGAGCTTGCAGCTAACTTCAGAACTTTTAATACAATCAGGCCACTAGATGGCAATCTTTGATTGTGTATAACCAAGTTCCTGTTTGCTCCTGGAGCTAATACATGTATCGCTATTTTCTTCAATCAAGCTTTCAGTAGTTATAGCTTTATATCATAATTTTTTACAAAATACTTATTTAAAATACTTCATTAAATACTCAGAGTAGTATGCATTAATCAAAAAATCTTTTGGCTAACATGGAACCTTCTCTCTGAAGAATAATGTTTAACAAGTAGATACCAAGGAACAAGGGCTTCCATCCCATATAGGTAAGAACTATTCTGAGACAATGAGAGTTATGTTGAGGAATCTCCCATCTGACTACAGAATCAGGATTCCAGGAGCTCTGACTATAGGCCTGGGTATTTTTTCATTCTATCAAAGGCTACAACCTCAGCAATACAAGAAACTGTAATGTCAAGTTTTAAACTCCTGTGGTTTCAGACTGTGCTGTTCCTGTGTTCCTGGCCTCCTTCAGATTATCTTTCTTTCCAGTCCTGCCCTATGAGAAAGGGCTTCCCAAGGCATTTCTGGTTTGTTGCGAACTTGATCTATATACACCTGTTCTAATACAAGAGAAAACTACTGCATTCCTTCCTCTCCAAGTTAAACTCAGATTTTATGTAGAGAACCCAAGATTTTTTTTCATTTTTCTTGATTTGATTTAATAAAAATGTTTTTCTTACTCAGAATACTTATTCTATTTTAACAAAATGCCTATTCCTTGATCATGTCTAGGTTTTTCCTCAGCAGGCCCTCTCCAAGTTCCCTTTTTGCCCTTTCATTGCTTTCATTTTATCAGAGAACATTAATCCCATAGCATTTTGATTAGAAGCCATGCCCCCTAAAACTCACTTTCCTGATAAAACAGAAACACTTTTGTATATTTACCTACATTCATGTTAAGTGTAATAATAGTAACATGAATGTATACGTATACGATGCATATACGATGCATTTTGAACAGTATGTTTTGGGACATATATCTTATTTTGCCATTTCAAATAGGATGAAAAGTCACATTCATGGACTGCAATTATAGATATTCAAAACTTATGTAGAAATGATCCTCCAAAATACATAAAGAAAATATGAGAAATGTAGACATAGTCCTTGTCCCGATAGAGCAAGTTGAAAAAGCTAAAAGATCAAGTGGATTAACTTCTGAAGAAGAGCCACTGAGTTTGGCCAGGAAGAGATAAATAATGATCTCTGAAAAATAACTTGAGAAAAATACTAAGGTATGAAGCTCAACTTTTAGAAAAGGGCTGAGAAGGAATGGTTCAGGAGACTATGAATAGGAAAAGAGGACCTGGGCTATGTCTTCATTAACAAATGGTAGGGAGATGAGCTGATGAATGGACAGGGTACTTTTTTTTAGTGTAAAGGAAGTTTGAAGGTGTTAAATCAGCAAGAGGCAAAGTGAATGAGACTGTAAGAAAAAAAATTAAAGATGTTTGAGGGAGGCTCCAGGAAGGTGTGAAAGAAGAGAAAACCTAAGCCTCGGGAAGAGACTGGCTTCATGAGGAATTAAGTATTTTTTTAGATTCAGTTATGCTGTCCCAGCGTCTACCACTCACCTAGGATTTGCACCTAGGATTTGTACTTGGTATATTGTATGCATGGACGGTAGATCCTAGCTGACTGGATTCTCTTGTGTTCTATTCCCCAGGAGAGAGACAGCTCCCATAGTGGAAGGAGTGTGGTCATTTAGTCACCGGGCACAGCACTACTTTGGCTACTTCTCAGCTCCCGCATATCATCATCACCTAGATTTCCAGCTGACTTGAGAGGGACACTGCAACTTCTTATTGAACAGCTTTGGCTTAGATTCAGAGGACAAAATAGAAGAATATTAAAAAACAAGAGTTTGAGGAATGAATGACTATAGTGTTAGCCTTGGTTCACACTCTGCACATTTAGGGTATCTGACTTCTAATGGACCCTAACTGGCATGTGATCCCTCAGGAACTCAGTAGCCCAAGTCTTCAACTAGGTTACACAGGTCAACCATGTCCATTTTCAAAGTGAGAACTCAGGAATCTTTAAGGAGAAACCAAACATGTTTCAGGTGCCCGAAATTTATTGGATACTCCATGGAAATTTCCATGGGAACTTGTCTCTATCTCTATAGCATACCTCCATGTTAGGAGTACACCTTGCTGCATTCATGCCCAGTTCTGAGTGCTCCTGAGGATCAAGTCAGGGATGGCATAGGAAATACTCCAGCAATGTGCTCCCTCATGGGTTATTTATGCAAGTGTAGAAAATCACTAAGAAGCACTTTTGCACCAAACTTATCCCTATCCCTTGTTTTCTTCTCACTTTTTTTTTTTGGTCTACATCTAATTTATATATTCATATATATTATGTATCCATTCAAATCATTTTAAATGCTTCTTGGGAAAATTCAGTATATAAATAAATTAGAAAGAAAATGTACTGGCCTAAGGGTTCTGCCCCAAATAAAAATTTACTTTGGTGCACTTGACTGAACTGAGTTTTCTTTCCTACTAAAGCTCAGAGAAGAGGCAGGCCAACTTGGATAGTTTGGAGTCACTTTTCTCCTGGCACCACTCAGCCTTGCAGAGTTGAGATTTCCCAAGCAGAAGCATCCAGATAGGTTTTGCCACTCAGAGAGCCCTGGGAGGAGAGCGCTATGCCCTCTCTATAGTGAGCTTTATCACTGCCTCCCATTTCCCCCAGCCCCTTTGGCAGTTTCATGAAAACATTTGTGCTTGATGTAGAGATGCTCTTTGAGCAGACTGGAAGGAGATGGTCTAAAAGGAGGGGGGCATATGTGTATTCCTCAACAGTATCTTTATGTATATGGCCTTAAGCTCAGTGTAGATCCTGTTGTGTTAACACATTTTTCCCCCGACCTCATTAATTACATCTGGAGAAAATAAGTTAAATGCCTGCCTTGAGCAAAGGTTCCATTTGGATTTTTGATGTTTATAATGTAAATGGGTGTAAAATAGCCAAACAGAAACAAAAATAAAAATTTTAACAGATAAAGAAGACATAAAATTCAGTAGGTGATGGTTTTCTGGTCTGGACAAGATGGCATAGACTTTTCCTTACTCCTTCCTACTAAACATAACTTTATAAACCCTGGAAATGCCACAAGAAATAGGCCAAGGAGAACTCTAAAGGATGCTAAGAAGAAGGCAAGGTGGTTTGGAAACCCAGGGCCTGAGGAATAACACAGAATCAGGGTATCTTGAACCCCCCAACCAAAAAAAACGAGCCACCCAGAGCTGGCATTTTCCTACTTCCCACCTAGCGGTAGAAAGTAATAGCTCATTCTTCCCCCTGGATTTAGCGGGAGTTCCTCTGGCAACCTCGGCAATGGGAACGGACTAGGAGCCCTACCAAAAATAAGTGATCAGGGTAAGTATGCTTCTTCCCAGCTGGGCCGGAGACTCTTCCATAGAGAGAGACTGGTGAGTAGGAAGAACCAGTAAGAGAGACTCAGGTAAAGCAGACCACCCAGCTGAGAAAGCCTCTTTGTTCTCAAGGGACAGACTCTCCTCCCCTGACCAGAGATAGTAGGGCTGACTATGGAACCAGGAAAAAGACCTGTCACAGCTAGCAGCCTGTGCCTTGAAGCCACTTTGTCTCCATGAAACTGAGACTCTCTCCTCCCTGGCCCAGATTAACCGGGGTAGCAGGGGAACACTAAAAGAAGGCTTTCTACATACCCCTCCCTCACCAAGAGATATCTGGCAATCCAGCCAGAGGAAGTTTCTTCCATCCTCTTAGGTAGCACCAACAGAGACCAGAGTGGGCCCCAGTAGCACCAAATACACCAAGTAGACCAACATAACATCACAAAGATTCTGAAAATTAAACTGCCATTGGGATCATGGCCTGCAAACAGAGGCTAAAACTTGTATGTTAAACCTAATAGGGTAATTTCCCTATAAAATAAAATATTAAAATATGACCTAAAGTATCCTAACATAATAGGCAAAATGACCAGGATACAAACCAAGACCCAAGAAAATCACAACTTGAATGGAAAAAAAAAATCACCTGATGCCAACCTGATATGAATCAGACGGTGGAATTATGTGATAAGAATTTGAGTCAGGGGGATCCCTGGGTGGCGCAGCAGTTTGGCGCCTGCCTTTGGCTCAGGGCGCGATCCTGGAGACCCGGGATCGAATCCCATATCGGGCTCCCAGTGCATGGAGCCTGCTTCTCCCTCTGCCTGTGTCTCTGCCTCTCTCTCTCTCTCTCTGTGACTATCATAAATAAATAAATTTTAAAAAATTTAAAAAAATAATTTGAAGTCAGGGACACCTGGGTGGCTCAGCGGTTGAGCGTCTGCCTTCAGCTCAGAGCTTGATCCCCGACTCCTGGGATCCAGTCCCGCATCAGGCTCCCCATGAGGAGCCTGCTTCTCCCTCTGCCTCTGTCTCTGCCTCTCTCTCTTTCTGTCTCTCATGAATAAATAAAATCCTTAAAAAAAGAAAAAATATTTTGAAGGCAAACATTATACAGATACTACAACAATTATAAATTCTCTTAAAAATAGAAAAATCTCAAAAAAGTTATGCATAAAAGAAAGGGAAATTATAAAACTGAAAGATACAACAAATTAAACTCGATGATGGAGGTCAGATTCAGTGAACATGAGGACAGAACAATTTCAACAGATAGAATTCACTCAAATAGAAAATAAACTGGAAAAAATGAACAGTGTCTCAGGGACCTGTGAAACTATGACAAAATGTCTAATAGTCATATCATTGGAGTCCCAGAAAAAGTAGAGGAGAAAAGTGGAGATGAATGGGTATTTGAAGAAATAATGGCTGGGAACTGCCCATATTTGATGAAAGACACCAGCCTAGAGGTTGAATGAACCTAGGAGCTGAATAAACCCAAACAGGATAAACCTAAAGGATCCATGCCAAGATACATCATAATTAAACTTTTAAAAGAGGACAAAAACTCCCGAAAGCAGCCAGAGAGAAGACATTCTCTGTAGGGAAACACCAATTTAAGTAGATTTCTTATGTAAAACCATGAAGAAGGAAATGGCAAAATATTTTTTAAGTGCTGGAAAAAAAAAAGAACTGTTAACCATAATTCTCTCTCTAGAAAAACTATTTTTCAGAAATGAAGGGAAAATAAGGACATTCATAGATGAGCAAAAGCTAAGATTCTGTTACTAGCAGACCTATCCTGAAAAGACTGGAAATTCTTCAAAAAGAAAGGAAATGATAAAAGAAGGAAACTTACAGCATCAGGAATCAAGAAGAAACAATAGGACAGAAATATGGGTCCATACAATAGACAGTTCTTTTCCTTATGAGTTTTATAAATCATATTTGATGATTGAAACAAAAATTATAATACTAATACTTAAAACAATGATATTTAAAGGTGGGAAAAGTAAAAGGACCTAAATGGAAGTGAAGTTTCTGTATTTCATTTGAAGTGGTTAAATGTTGATACCAGTACACAGTTATAAGTAGCACCCAGAGAAACCACTACGAAGATTATACAGAGAAACAAACTTAAAAGTGTTATAAATAAATCAAGATGGAATCCTAAAACATGTTCAAGTAACTTACAAAAAGGCAAGAAAGAGGAAAGGAGCAACAAAAAGCAGAGGAAACAAATAAATAATAAAATAGCATGCTAAAGTGGTAACATATCAATAGTGAGCTTAAATGTAAACGGTCTAGGTCATTTGGATGGCCAAATGTAAGAAGATAGATTTAGATCTTTCACACATATGCAAATAATTAATTCCAAGTGGATACTAGGTCTAATGTAAGAGTTAAAACTGTAAAACATTTAGAGAAAAAGATAGAAGAAAACCTTTGTGTCCTTGGATTAGGTAAAGAGTTTTTAGATATGACACCAATAGCATAATCCTTAAAAGAAAAAAATATAAATTGAACTTCATTAAAATTTAAAACTTTTGTACTTTAAAAAACACCATTAAGGATTTCTATAAAGAAATCTTACAACTCAGTAAGACACAACAGAATTTTTTAAAATAGACAAGATTTGAATAGAGATTTCACAAAGGAAAACATAAAGATGGCTAGTGAGCACATGAAAAGATGTTCTATATCCTATTACTATCATTAGGAAAACACAAATTAAAATCACAATGAGACACCACTTCATACCCACTAGAATGATGATAATAAACGAGACAGACAATAATAAGTGGTAGCGTAAATGTAGAGAAATGGAAATCTTCATAGTTGTTGAAGAAATGTGAAATGATGCGGCTGCTTTGAAAGCCTTTGGTAATTAAAAAATGTATATTAGACATAAATTACCATACAACCCAGAAATTTCACTCCCTGGTATTACCCAAGAGAATTATCTACATAAAAACTTATATATGGGGGCAGCCCGGGTGACTCAGAGGTTTAGGGCTGCCTTCAGCCTAGGGCGTGATCCCAGAGACCCAAGATCGAGTCCCCCATCAAGCTCCCTGCATGGAGCCTGCTTCTCCCTCTGCCTGTGCCTCTGCCTCTCTCTCTCTCTCTAATGAATAAATAAATAAACAAATCTTAAAAAACTTATATATGAATGTTCATAGAAGCTTTATTTATAACTAAAAAAAGTAGAAAAAAATTTCCATTAACTGGTGAACAGATGAAAAAAATGTGGTATAGCCATACAGTGGAATTCTATTCAGTAATAAAGAAAAACAAATTACTGATACTATACTACGACATGGATGAACTTAAACATTATGCTAAGTGAAAGAAGCCAGATCCAAAAGACCACAGATCCTATGATTCCATTCATATTAGATGTCCAAAAAAGGCAAATCTGTAGAGACAGCAAGTAAGTTAGTGGTTGCCTAGGATTGGGGTTGGAACAGGAATTGACTGCAAGTGAACAAGAGGTTTCTTTTTGGAATGATGGAAACGTAAAATTGGATTATGAAGATGGTTGCACAACTTTATAAACTTACTAAAAATCATGAAACTGTATGCTTACAATGGGTGGATTCTGATATGTACCATACCTTAATAAAAATCTTGAGTAGGTCAAACATTCAAACATCATTCCAAAATGTGTTCTCCAATATATGAGTGTTAGAAATCCTTTTAAAATGTGTTCATATAGAATGCTAGTTTTAATTTTTAAAAATATTCTCTAACAGCGAAAGGGAAATTGAAGCAAAACTGAAGAACTGTTAAACTTCAAATATTTCACTTTGCAGAGATTTTATTTTTGAAAAGAATTCTCCTGGATTATGAAAAAAGACAAAGGAAAATGTTGAGCAATTGGGAGTCATTGTGGTTTAAAACCCCAGGTTTCAAAAGCCCTGCCAGATTATGAAAAAAGACAAAGGAAAATGTTGGTAGTTGGAGTCATTGTGCTTTGAAAGGCCAGGTTTCAAATGCCAGCCACTCTCACATTTCCTGTAATCTCTGCTCACCTCTTGGTTTAGTTTTGTTGTCAAAGTAAACAAAATTCCCAGTTATATTTAT